TTAGTTTAATTGTGTCGATGTATGTTTTTTTAGTTTTGAGTATGGTTTCGTTGTATTGAATAATACTGATTTATTGATTATTGTCTTTTTTTCATTTCGTACGATGAACGGGTATTTAGATAGTTGCAAAATAAAATTAACGCTTACATGTTCCTTTCTTTTGTCTGGTATTCAGTTTTCATTCGAAATTAACTAAATAAATCGTATTCAGTACAATATAAAATAAGGACTCTTAAACTAATAAATTACAGTTGAAAAATTATTTTTCATTAAAGCACACATTTTAGAAATATAATAAGTTTCTCATTGTTGCTTATTCCACTGGCAATGTAGCTCACTTGTGAGACTAAACACGCAAAATAAATACTTACAATTTTACTTTTCTGAAAAGTAAATGTTCAATTTATTTAAAATCCACAAAAATTAATTAAAGAGAAGCAGAAGAAGGAAAAACTGTATGGTTTACAGAGTTCTACTTAGAAAAAAATGGTTTGCTGCATTCTGCTTAAATATTTAATAAAGTAGAGTTTCAATATTAGTTTCAAAAATTATTAATTGATGGTAACAAATAAAAAACCACTATTTGTTTGTTGCAAGAGCTGATGAAAGAACATTCCAACAGAAATATAACTTTTTCTGAGACAGCACCACATTATTTCTGTAAAAGATGATTATTTTGAAAATATTGTATTATGGTATGTTGGTTAGCAACGCCCTCTGTTGACAAACTTCATAGCTAATTTTGAAACTTCGTGTGATTAAATCTTTGGCTTCCTCAACCGTAGGCATTGAACTGGACATTTTTATTTCCTTTCTTTTAGCTTTAATTGTTTTCTCTAACTGTTGAGACACTCGGTACTCTACCTAGGTATTTGTTTTTCTGGTGGTATGGAATTTTTCTGATGTTCGTGAAGCATTTTATATTTATTATTTTATTGTAAGTATTTTTTTGGAAAATATTTCGAAAGAAATTTAGTACTTTTTGGAATTCACATTGAATCCGCTGTTTTGACTATCAGATATTAATTTTCAGAAATTTAGAAAAATGTATTAACATATTTTTTCAACTTATTTGAATATTTTAACCACAAATGAGACTTTTGAGATCTAAACGCAATCTAGATGCTCTAGGTGCATAATTAAGTACTCTAGAATACTCTAATTTCAATTTCATTGATAAATAACAATTTCCCGGAATTTTCTTATATATACTAGTTTTTAAAAAGCATAAGAGCCGATTGGATCAAAACTTAATCTGTTGTTTATAATGCATTTTACCGTAAAATTATTTATTCCGTTTTACCCTAAGATATTATACCGTATTTTTGCAATAATATTTTATTTAATGAGTGTGGGTTAGTAATTTTACGGTAATTATCACTAAAAAAATTATGGTTTAGCAGATACTTTGTTCCGTAACAAGTTCCGAACAAAATGGATTTCACGGTAAAAAGTGCCACCACCCTGAGTGCCGGTACTTCTTACCCTAATTCAATCCGGAATTTTTTACGATGTAGTTGCAAGAAAAAATCAGTTTGCAAAATGTATTAACTAAAAATAAATTATTTCAGTTAATTCACCTAATCTAATACTTATTATTTCTTATTTGTTGAAAATTTAAGAAAAATAAATATTCAGGCAATATAAGAAAACAAATTATTTTATTGACATTCATATGTAGTACAAATAATAAACAAATGATCACAGAAGCTAATAGACAATGAATATTAAACCGATAAATTTACCGGTCACCCGAAGAAACATTCACCACCATAGAAAACCCAAATATCATTCACACAAAAGGATTGATACAAAATTGATACAAAATTGAAATATTTGCCTTCGTTGTAATGCTAGCAAAATGATAATTCCGTAATAAATTTTGAAAATTTATATTAAAAACATAAATTTCCATGAATAGATTGCGTTCTAAAGTAGCTTAGATTTTAAATTCTGATTATTAAACACACAATTACATATAACATTAATATAACTGACATAAATATACAGATCTAGGACTTTTTGAAAACTGGATGTTATTTCAACCTGTACTGAAAGAGAATGCTTATACGAAGAAGAAGATTCTGGTTAAATTGCCGTACTGTATGGTAATGATGCTTTTGGTAAAAATAAAAAGAAGCCATAATTCTGATTAATAAAGCCAAAATATACGGTATTTAAACCATCCATTCGGAAATTATTCCATTCATATGGTAACGGTTTACCGGAACGGTTACTTTGGTTTTCAAAATTTTCAGTTCCCATTTTCACACATTTAGTAAAAAATACAAAACAGAAAAGTAAATGTAATAAAGGGTTTTTATGCCATGCTCTTATGCATTGATAAAATCATCAAATTTTACCACATTTACCAAATTTTAATACATACTAGGAAACCTTATTCTTAATTTTACCAAAATCATTACCAAAGTGCTACTGTAAAAATTTCCGAGCTTTTGACATAGTTTTATCCATATATTTTTTTTCAGTGCAGTCTACAATTTATGTTAGAATTAAAAAAAAAAAAAAAAGGATTTTGCTAATCGGTTCAAATTTTCGAAGACAATTGCAATTGGTATTTGTTTAATTTTGGAATTCTGCATCTATTAAATATAATCTGTTACTTTTTTTGTGCTCGTCATAATAATACTTTTTTGCAAAATTTCGAGAAATATAACAAAAGTATATTTGTAGTACTCATTGCTAGTCTCATATAAGACTTTTTTGAATAAATCAATATGCATTTTTTTTGCACAATCGCGTACATAATATTTGTAGAGGATAAATAATACACTGTAAATAAATTAAATCCTGTAAGCAAAATTTTCGAATTCAATGAAGTTTCAACAATGTAAATTACGTTAATGTATACAAGAAAAAAGTTTTTTTTTTTTTTTTTTTTTTTNCCATAATTCTGATTAATAAAGCCAAAATATACGGTATTTAAACCATCCATTCGGAAATTATTCCTTTCATATGGTAACCGTTTACCGGAAGCTTTGATTTTCAAAATTTTTAGTTCTCATTTTCACACATTTAGTAAAAAATACAAAACTGAAAAGTAAATTAAATCGAATAAAGGTTTTTTATACCATGCTCTAATTGTCAATCAGTAATATTTTATAATATTACTGATTGACAATTAGAATCTGACAATCAACAGTAAATTACATCAACAATGTAAATTACGTAAGATGAATACGAGTAAAAAAAAATTTTTTTTTGCGTAAAACGAAAAACTATCGTGGAATTTGTTTAAAATATTTAAATTTAATGTTCCAAAAATGGTTGTCCAAATATATGCTCTATAATATAATATGAAATAAAGCAGCTAAATAGAAGATGGTGTTAAGTAATATTTTAGCAACTTTAAAAATCTCAATTTCCTCAGACAATAATCTAAGGCGACTATCAAATTCCATGAAAGAGCAAATAGACACTGGATCAAATGTGTCAATGACTGGATTGTCAGAGTCAATCCAATGTTCAAACAACACCAACTCTATCCATCTGTTCAACTTTAAAGAGTGCACTGTTGAAAAGTAAAAATCATTTTTCTCTTCATTACAGAATATCATTTAGCAGCAGTGATGACTCATACAAAAGCTAAAAACACAAAACAATATAAAAAGTTTCAATAAATAAAACATCACATGATGTAAACTGAGCTTTCCCATTGAGCATCGGGGTTATCAAGATGTATTTACAGTGAGTTATTACAAAATACTAACAATTTGTTCATTAAATTCTGGTCGCAAATAGGGTTCTTAAGTTACAATCTTATACAGGCATTTAAGTATTAAAGACATTATTTTGTGACCTCAATTTTCCTTTGAAAATCAGTTACAATCATCAGAACATTGTGCAAATTTTACAGATTTTATGACAATAGTTTTACAGGGAGAATCGTACACAAGTGTCATAAAATTAAATAAATATATTTGCGACAATAATTTTCATGTGCCCTGAAAATCAGAAAGTTATCCTTAAGAACCTATTTTCAAAAATAGCTGCCGTGGAAATTATCGCTGTTACAAACATTTCTGGGCTGATAATACAAACACAAAGACACAAAATATTCCCAAAAACCAAACTAATGTTCACATATACAAAGTGTACACGTTGCATATACAGAGTGACGCATTACAAAATAGTGTGTATTCCTGTATTAATTTGAATTTCGGGAAAATGTTTTACTTTATTACGATAAAAGGCGATGGAACTCTAATTAATTAATTAACCCTAATTAATTATATAAATGCAATAATATTTTTAAAACTTGAAAGTAATTTTATATGAAACAATGAAAGATGGTTAAGCAACTTTATAAAGTACATAAAAATACCGCATATGATATTAATAGACTTTTGAAAAACGCTGTTGTGACCTAATTTGTTAACTGGAATTTTTGAATTTTAAATTGTTTGTAAAATTAAAATCCTGTAAAAACATTTAAAAATGTTGAAATGCATTAAACGTATTTAAATAATATTAACAAAAACGTTACAAACTCTTCAAGTAGAAAACCCTAAGAAAAACTGTGCATTCAACCCTAATAAGAAAAATAAATGTTAAAATATTTAAAGACTAAATATGGTAAAAGGTTTTAAAAGTGCCAGCGACATAAAAATCACCATTTTCACACTGCAGTGCATAACAGTTAATTCAGCATTGCACCAAAAATGCTTGATAGGTTTTTAAGTAGACTTAAAATAGGCCTTAAGTAGAATCAAGAGTGGCATCGTTTCCAAAGTAAATCAAAGTAGTTATTGTTTACATTTCAGGTACAATTGAAGGTATTTCAATGTCAAAATATTTTCGTTTAGGCACTTATTACCTTTGACACTTCTAGTTCTTACTTGCCCGCAGAAGAAGATTCTGAATTTGCCTACTAGATAATAATAAAGGGTCTAATTAGATAAATGAATAATTTACAAAGAAAAAAAGAAACATTAAACAAAACAAAATTGGGTAAAAGTTAAAAATGAGTAAATTGATCTTCAAGAGAAATTGCAGACGAGTTTTCTTCGACTCGAGACGGATGGCCAACTCTTGGAAGAGATAGATCTTGTCTTGGTTTGAAAATTGTCGTCTCTGCGATACAAGAATATGACTGCAGCGATACAGATAATTGCCACTTGGATTGTCGCGATGATGGCTCCGATGATATAGATCGTGGTTGCAGTGACGCATATGCCATTGGGTTTCAACTTTATGTGGACTAAATCTAGAAATAGAAAAATTAGTTTACTTAAAATTATATCGTTGTGCTGTAATTGATGTTTTAGTTTTTAAGAGACCGAAACTGCTTGTGTTTACTTTCGATACAGAAAGTTTTACTGCTGCTAAGTATATACGCAAATTTCTATGTACTTATAGTAATTTGTGCATATTAACTGGAAAGTTTTCTTTTTTATTATATTTATGTAATTTGGTTTGGATTACGAACCGTAAAAGCGTTTTAATAATATTGAGAACACTAAATATTATCTGCTTAAAGACGATAGTTATTTTCTATTATACAAGAGTACAAATCAAATAGGGTCAGGTGGGGTAAAGTGGGTACATGGGGTAAAGTGGGTGCATGGGGTAAAGTGGGTTTGTGTTAAGAGCATCTATTTTCTCCTTTTAAATTGAGATAATTTGTTTAATATTTTTCGAGACATTGACTGGGATTGCAGCAAACATTTTTATTTCAATTTAAGAAATTGATAAAAAATTTAATGTTTACAAACTCTTTGTTTACGACCAACTTATACGGTTTGTTAGTTTAAGCTGTTGATGAACTTTCTTCGACAAATTCTATTTATTATGAATTGTTTCCTGAGCTAGGGTAAAGCGAGTATATGGTTAGGAGCATATTATTTAATAATAACCATTTCCAACGTTTATAGCAATTCTTTTAAGTTTTCATTTCAATGTAAACTATAATTCGGCCTATTTTAATCATTTTCAGCTTATGTATATACACCAGAAACAAATTCATTACTAGACTAGTTATAGCACTAGGACTTTCAAGTTTAACTGTCGGACATAAAACCTAATTTAAGATTATTAATGATAAAACAATGTAAAATCTTCATTCTTCTAATTAAATATTTAAAATATAGTCTTTTATTGGTTATAACGTTCAAAATAACCTTAAATTTTATAAAGTTAGGGTTCCGACTAAAGAAGGTTGATTAATTAGGGTTCCGTAGTCGAAGAAATTGGGAACTGTTGGTTCAAACCATAACACAAGAGTATTTATAAATTTTCACAGAAAATTAAAAATAATTTTTGCTTGATACAACATTGATATCAACATATACAAAACTCAGTATCGATTTTGAGTAGAGTGACAGGTTCCTCTTGTTCGCTATCAGCCACTTAGTGTTTCATTAAAAAGCTTCGCTAATTGGTGTTAACCATTCATAAACAACGAAAGAATTTAATTGGCAACAGAACAGATAGCTATTCTGTATCCTTTTCTGCTATCCTATGAAAGAAAGCGGCCATGCCTAAACTAAGCTTCATTTTCTCCACCACTAACCGACTAGTCTTTATCCTTTCCCCCCCCAATTGGGACCACAGTTACTGTAAAGCACTATTTACTGTTCTATTCCCCCTCAGGGGCTTTTCTTTAGAACAATAGAGTGCGATTCGTGCCTGTTAAAGTTTTTCTTCCTTGGAAAAATTCAAAGTCGAGAAAGCAGAAAGCATTGCTTTCTCTTTTATTATAATGGCAATTATGACATCATCATTACGAATCTTTTCTTTGGCATTACCGTAGAACAGGATGTCTTTTTCTCTATAGTGAGCGCATAACAATTACTTTAAAAGAATGGATGGGCAAGGTTTTGTTTTGATTTTTTTTTTCGTAAAGTGAAAGTTGCAATCATTTTCGCTACAGGTTCATGAATTTATTTTAATTAATATTTTTTCTTACTTTTTAACCCTTTCGGTGTGGTTGCAAATTGTTAGAGTGGCATTGTTACACTTACCACAATTGGATGAAGAACTGCTAATGGCTTCCTTGGTACTAAAATTAGGTTCCACAATCTTTTATTTTTTTCTTTGAGCTGTCTTAAATTTTAAGTATTTCATAAAACGCCTGACTAACGATATTTGACGAGTGAAATAATTAGTAAAGCGAAGCTGAGAGGTAAGCGTGAAATTAATAACCTGTTAGCCAATTAAAATATGCAAAAAGTAAATGATTGGGGGTATTTTTGTNTGAGTTATCGCGATTTTTGTGAATTTTCCTTAATTTATGATAACCAGTGTATTTTAATGATCATCGGCATATTCTCCAAAATTCGTAAAGGCGCTGTTAATTTAAACTTTTATTGCAAACACTGTTTAAATTTGTGAGACGGGCGCAAACCTTAAAAAACAAAATTTTTATGGGAGAGGAAATTAAATCTAAAATATAAACCAAGTGACTTATATATTTTAAGGCAGAAAGCTATTATTTTGAAGGTTCTGTTGATCGAGAGCTATAATCCGAGGTAGGAACCATGTATGTGCCGACATCGGAATAAAAAAAATTACAAAGTAATACTGACCTGACAGGTTCATAAAGATTTTCAAAATCAGCTTTAATTTCGATATGGCGACAACCCTCATAAATCGGTAGAAAATTAGGAACCAATTATTAAAAAAAAGCAATACTGACCAGTAGCAGTACTTTAAAGCAAGTTTATAAAGATTTTCAAAATTTTGATTTGGTCACAACCCTCATAACTCGATAGAAAATTAGGAAGCAGTTATGTGTCGACATCGGAATAAAAAAATTTAAAAACTAATACAGACCTAATAAGTTTATGAAGATTTTACAGATCAATGAATTAATTTTGTTATGGTGACAACCATCATAACTCGATAGAAAATCAGGAACCCGTTATGTGTCGACATCGGAATAAAAAAATTTAAAAACTAATACAGACCTAATAGGTTTATAAGGATTTTTAGGATCCATTAATTAAATTAATTTTGTTATGGTGACAACCATCATAACTCGATAGAAAATTAGGAAGCAGTTATGTGTCGACATCGGAATAAAAAAATTTAAAAACTAATACAGACCTAATAAGTTTATGAAAATTTTACAGATCAATGAATTTATTTTGTTATGGTGACAACCATCATAACTCCACAGAAAATCAGGAACCAGTTATGTGTCGACATCGGAATAAAAAAAATTTAAAACTAATACAGACCTAATACGTTTATAAGGATTTTTAGGATCAGTGAATTAGTTTTGTTATGGTGACAACTGTCATAGCTCGGTAGGAAATTAAAAACCAGTTATTTGTCGAAAGCAGAATAATAAAAAAATAAATTAAGAAATAATACTGACCTTCAGTGTGGTCAGCTGAAATGAAACGCTGTTCTATTCCACTCTGGGTCTGCTCGGAATCAAGGGAAGGACTGAGATTAGTCACGAGAAACATTGGACTTTCCATCGTGACATCACTTATCACATCTCCAGGATGCAAATCCAGGAATTGAGAGCCTGTTGATCTTCGCTTACGACGTTTTCTTTTACCATAGGATTGTGTTGGGCTTGAACTCGGAACATCACAATCAGCCTTGAAGGGGAGAAAAATAAATTAGGAGGCTTGAAACACAATGGATTTGTAGACAGGTTGAATTGATGTGATTTGTTTTGTAAATTCGTGGAAAGATAAAATGTGAACTTTTTCAAGATAAAGCGTTTTTTTTTCTATTTGTGTGGAAATGAGTTTTAGTTTAATACAGGAATTCTGTAAATATTTTGAACAAGTTCAAGGGTGATTTGCAAGCAGATTCGAGAAAAAAGTAAATAAATAAATAAAGTGAAAAAGGTAAATAAAAATCTTTTTTTCTTCAAAAAATGAAAATAAAAATGCTGGAGCTTTAAGTTTAGTTATTTACTCTTTATAGTGATTGCAGTATTTTTGTTTTAAAACTTTCAATGAACAACCGGGCGGTCTGGTTCTAAACAAGCAAAATCTTCAATGATTTAATAAAAAATATGATTTAGTGAAATTAAAAAAACATATTTATTTACTAAGCCGCGTTTAAAATACATCTACTACCAATTTTAGGCCTTCCAAACAGAAAAATAATGTAAAATTCACAGGCGACGTTTTTGATATTAGCTATGCAGATTATATATTTTTTCATTATTATTTATCTTCATTTAACCAGCCTCGCTAAATCTTATTCTTAATAAAAAAAAAAAAAAAAATCCTGACAATGACAGAATGTCTTTTTCTGCAAAAATAAATGTTTACTTTATGAAATTACTTAATAATTTTAAAGGTATAAAATAAAGAATTATATAAAAAATTTCATAATATAATTCTTAATATAAAGTTATGCGTTATAGGTTTACAGTAGTGTGTATAGAAGATTTATGTTATAATATGTAAATTAGCTTAAATTCTTTATTAATGAGCTTTTTGAACTGATTAAAAAAGCATTTTAGATAATTCCTTTAAATGTTTTAGATCTACTAATATTAATTTTGTATTTGGAATATATTAGTATTTATTTTATTAGTGTTTAAAACTGGATTCAAACGAATTTTAAATTTATTATTATTTGACAGTTCGTTAAAAACTTGATTGTTAAATTTGCATAAAATAAGTGCCAAATGAAAACACTGTCTGTAAAAGAACTCATGCGTGCAATTTTTTTTTGTTTATTTGAGATTAATGTCTGCTACCTTTGTCGTCTGTGTTTCTTGCAATGCTTCGTTGAAAACGTGAAAACTTTCCGTTTGAATGTCTAGAACCTTAAAATGCAAATGCAATATAGGAATAATATAATAATGTCTTTATACTATTGGAATTATTTTAGAACAATGATATTTTTGTTGTGCTCTTCCAATTTTTTATATTGTAATTATGAGATATTAAAATGACCTATTTGTTCTTAAAATAGTATAAAAAGTCGTATTATAATCTGTATTGTTTAAAACATTCTTTTAAAGTAATTTTACTAGCTTTACTCTTTACTTTGCTAGCTAGAGACATTAAAATGATCAATTTGGTGTTAAAATAGTAGAAAGAGTCTTATCATATTCCGTATTGTTTAACACACTCTTTTAAAGTAATTTAACTAGCTTTACACTTAACTTTGCAAACTAGAGATATTAAAATGATCGATTTGTTAAATAAGTGTAAGAAGTCTTATCACATTCCGCATTGCTTAAAACACCCTTTTAAAGTAAAATAATAAGCTTTACGCTTTACTTTGCTAGCTAGAGATATTAAAATGGCAGATTTGTTGTTAAAATAGCATAAAAAATCTTGTCTACAGTTTGCCTTGTTTCACCTTTTTAAAGTAATTCTACAAGCTTTACGCTTAACTTTGAAAACTAGAGGTATTAAAATGATCGATTTGTTGTTAAAATAGTATTAAAAGTCTTATTATATTTTGGATTGTTTAAAACAATCTTTGAAACTATTTCTACAGGCTTTACTTTGCATACTACTTTATCAACATTTTTGCATATTTTACAATTACATCCTTCATCTATTTAGATTTTTTTTAGAATAAGAGACGTTTAATAAATATAAATGAAATATGATATCAGAACATGAACATACTGACAATGGGTGAATAGTATGACGAAATGGTTCTTGTTTCTTGTAATTTATATTTAACCATCTGTTACCAACTTGAACTTATTTCATTATAAAACAGCAGGAGGCAAGGAACTCAGGTTGATTGAAATGCCACTCACGGTTGAAAAACAAACAAAATACATTAAGTAAAAAAAAAAAAAGATATAAAATTTTTGGTAGAATCTTGTCGCCATTTCAAAGTCACTGAAAATGGGAAAAAAGAATACCAGCTTTACACCCTGTATGATCAAAGGAAAAGAATAATAGCTATGTTGCTAAAGCACTTTGATGTTATGGCACTTGATCATTAAAGTGCTCAACAATACGGAACTAAACAAGAAAAGAAGTGTATAAATCGAATTCCAAATCAACGAAAGATTTATTTTTACTTAAATTCCGAATCATCACAGAAGTGCTTTTCTTTTAAGAACTTTAGAGTTATTTTTTTCTATTTGCTGGCATCACTTCAAAAAATCATTATTTTAAATTTGTTGCTAAGTACAATATATATATTTTTTGAATACTCGCAACCAGAGCTCGACTTAGGAAAACTTGGGAATAAGGCCAGAATTTTGAATTAGTGCCTCCTTTAGAAATGTGCCATTTCTAATATTTAAAAATAGGATTCTCAATTAAAAAAGTCGCACTTTGTTCATTAAAAAAATTTAAAATCCTGCATAGATTTTTAAAATTTTCTTTCTTTCTGAAATAAAGAAATCTAAACCTTGTATATAATATTAATAGCATTTTTTGAGAACAAGTAAGAAATTCGAATTCTGATCATGTCATTGATATTAATTTAAGCATAAGAATATTGTTTGTTAAAGTGCTTAATGATAAATCAAATTAATCATGTTTTTTTTCTTGTATATAACTACTTTTTGATGTCCATAGAGCAATGTTATTCAAAAGAAAAAAATTAGTTTTTTCTGACTTAAATAACTTGGTGAACTTATGCTTTTTTATCATCACAAACTCAGACAAAAGACAAACATTAACACTTTTAGAAATTTTGGCAACAAAATTAAATTTTGTGAATTTTTTTTCCGTAGTAAAATATTGTATTTAACAATTGCAAATGTGCAAGTACAATAAAAAAAAATTGCATTCTTTTTGCATTTATAGGCTTTTTTACAACATGTATTTAAATTTCTGATTTTTAAAAAAGAAACACTCTAGAATTAAAAAATGTTGAGCGTATATGAAAATTTTAAAATTGTATTGGGTTTGTAGAAAAATGTTTGGATCATGAAAAAAAAAAAGATGCGCATATTTCCCTCAAACAATATTATAAATCAAGGCTCAAAAATATTTTACGTGCGTTTGGCAATCCATTTGTGTTGGTAAACTTTATTACAATTAGCATAAAGAGGGCGTCTAGTGAACTGAATCGAAAAATAGATGGACAAATATGAAAAAAATGTTCATTAAACATCGTAATTACAACGAAACGAAACAATTTAACGAAACAATTAATTAAACGAAACAATTAATTAAACGAAACAATTAATTAAACGAAAAAATTTACATAGTTTTTTTTTATTTAAGTAAAAAGCTGATTTTAGATTTCTTTTTTACTATCGGGAGTTAAAGGTATAAACAGACATTTTTTGGGGGAATTTCAACAGCATTTTTTTTTCTTACCGAGTTAAAATATTGTTTTTAACGAAATGCAAATATGTAAGAACACATAAAAATTGGATACTATTTTTTCCTTATTGGATATAATTTTTTTAATCGATATTGGACAAATTTGTAAGAACGCATAAAAACTGGATGCTAGTTTTTCCTTATTGGATATCATTTTTTATCAATATTGGAAAAATATGTAAGAACATATAAAAGTTGTATACTATTTTTTTCCTTATTGGATATTATTTTTTATCAATATTGGACAAATTTGTGAAGGATTGGAATTGGCACACGAGAAAAAATCGTTGTCATATGTATGATGAGACTGTAGATAAATAAGTTCTTACGAACTTCCTTCACGTGATAAAGCAATAACTTGGAAGTATTGTAATAAATAATCTTAAAAAAAATCTTAAAAAAAAACTTCTACAAAGAAGACATTTTCAAATTTGTAAAATATTGGAAAGCAATTATAAAAATTTATGTAGAATACATTATTGTTTAAAAATTTTTATATTTTATGATTATTATATGTATTNAATTTACATAGTTTTTTTTTATTTAAGTAAAAAGCTGATTTTAGATTTCTTTTTTACTATCGGGAGTTAAAGGTAAAAACAGACATTTTTTGGGGGAATTTCAACAGCATTTTTTTTTCTTACCGAGTTAAAATATTGTTTTTTACGAAATGCAAATATGTAAAAACACATAAAAATTGGATACTATTTTTCCTTATTGGATATCATTTTATATCAATATTGGACGAATACGTAAGAACACATAAGAATTGGATACTATTTTTTCCTTATTGGATATAATTTTTTTTATCAATATTGGACAATATTGGACAAATTTGTAAGAACGCATAAAAACCGGATGCTAGTTTTTCCTTATTGGATATCATTTTTTATCAATATTGGAAAAATATGTAAGAACATATAAAAGTTGTATACTATTTTTTTCCTTATTGGATATTATTTTTTATCAATATTGGACAAATTTGTGAAGGATTGGAATTGGCACACGAGAAAAAATCGTTGTCATATGTATGATGAGACTGTAGATAAATAAGTTCTTACGAACTTCCTTCACGTGATAAAGCAATAACTTGGAAGTATTGTAATAAATAATCTTAAAAAAAATCTTAAAAAAAAACTTCTACAAAGAAGACATTTTCAAATTTGTAAAATATTGGAAAGCAATTATAAAAATTTATGTAGAATACATTATTGTTTAAAAATTGTTATATTTTATGATTATTATATGTATTGTATTTTACACATTTTTAAATCAAGCACAAGCTTTTGAAATCATATTGTATTCATCTATTTTAATGTTAGTAGTTAGATATTTTGTGTTTGCAAACCATTGAGCCCTTCATAAATATTAATGATGATGATTAATATTTATGAAGGACTTTCATTGTAAAATTTAAGGTTAGCCATAAAGAGAGAATATTTATATCTCGATGTCAGAGGTATAAGAATTGTTGTCTCTTTCGAAAAATTATAGCAGTTGAATCTGGTGCTTCATCCATTAGAATAGATAGTAGTTACTGATTTTAAACCAGAAATTGCAACGGAGAAGAAAAAAGTAATCTAAGGTAGATACGTGGGGGTCAGTTCGTGATGTTCAGTTCATCAGAGATACATAGATTTCGCAATGAACTGATAATTATGCAAAATGTTAACATCGATTTATTAAAAAGAAAGTTAAATAACCGAAAACTACGCAACAGATAAAAGCTTTAATTTAAAATTGTTTTTTTTTCTTCTCTCAAGTTGTTGAACTCTTTAATGCGCAGGAAATATTCTTTTTATGAATTGTCTCTTTCTTATACTACGTGTCTTTTCTTAAAGATCGATTTCTTAAAAAATGAAGGTTACAAGTGTCATACTGACTGATCATTTGAGTTCAAAGACACATTTGGTTGTGTTCGTTTTTTTTTTAAATTTTTTTAAACGAGCTACCGTCATGAAAGATATTTTTCAAATTAGAAATACAACTTTTGATCTAATGATTGGATTGACATGTTCTTTGGTTTAATTTTATTAGTATGCTAATTAACTTGTTAAGATGATGCGACACACGCAAGCGTACTTTTTTTTCTGAATAAACATATTTTTTTCGACTGATTTAGATTCTTAAACATTAAAGGAAGAGGGGATAACCTTTTTCTGCAATATTTGACTTTAATAATTTAGTCAAGCAGAAAGTGGTCGAGACTTTGAACTTTTTAATGCTAATTTTACTTTTTGCATATTTCGTCACATCTTGATAATTTAAGAGATTCAAAAACTTTTTGAATACAATTATTATACTTCTTTATCTTAAGATATAAGATACATTACTTCGGTTACAGTTATGCAAGTTAAACCACTGGTGTGAAAAAATAACTTCAAGCTTTTTTTCTGTCAGAACGAGAAGCTTCGTGAAATCGGTATGCAACTGTCAGCAGTTCTTTGCTTTCACAAGTTTTTTGGGAAAACATTTATCTAATTTTTTTTGCGCAAAGTTTGCGCAAATATTTTTTATTACTATAATTTTAAATATTTTTCATTACTATTTTTCATTACTATAGATTTATGGGTTCTTAAAAAATTAAAATTTAAAAATACAACTTTTTTCTGTCACAAGAAGTCTCTGTTTTTATTTTGCGCACTGTGCATTGCATAAAATAAAAAAGTAAAAACTAAACTCAGTGGCGCGACAGCCCATAGAGGGCCAAGGCCTACTGTGCCCATCTCAGTTTTCTTGATCTTGGGTGCAGGAGCAGATGTGCCGGTCAGGAAATTAAAAAGTGAACACCATAAATAATTTCTCATGTATTGAACAGATTTTTTCGTACATGGATTTCATTTTAAGGATTTGAGAGTCTTACCATAAATATGTAAATTAAATTAGTGCAGACTATGTCGAACGCCATGGAACCAGACACAAAAACATACTTTTTCCGAATAAATTGTCTACGGATTCTTATTCTTAACCCTCAAAATATGGTGGCTGAGGTAGCCGCACCATTTTTTTTTACGAATATTCCACTTCGTTTTACACCATATTTTTTAAAGTTTATCTACGAATTATTATTGAAAATACCAACATGGACATTAATGGATTAAGTAAAAACTTATGAACAGTTTTCGACATTAATTTTTCATGAAACTTANTGGGTTCTTAAAAAATTAAAATTTAAAAATACAATTTTTTTCTGTCACAAGAAGTTTCTGTTTTTATTTTGCGCACTGTGCAATGCATAAAATGAAAAAGTAAAAACTAAACTCGGTGGCTCGACAGCCCATAGAGGGCCAAGGCCTAATGTGCCCATCTCAGTTTTCTTGATCTTGGGCGCAGGAGCAGATGTGCAGGTCAGGAAATAAAATGTGAACACGATAAATAATTTCTCAAGTATTGAACGGATTTTTTCATACGGGGATTTAATTTTAATGATTTGAGAGTCTTACCATAAATATGCAAATTAAATTAGTACAGACTGTATCGAACGTTTTGGAACCAGACACAAAAACGTATTTTTTCCGAATAAATTGTCTACGGATTCTCATTTTTAACCCTCAAAATATGGTGGCTGAGGTAGCCGCACCATTTTTTTTACGAATATTCCACTTTGTTTTACACCATATTTTTTAAAGTTTATCTGCGAATTATTATTGAAAATACCAACATGGACATTAATGGATTAAGTAAAAACTTATGAACAGTTTTCGACATTAATTTTTCATGAAACTTAAACATTGTTTTAGAGCTTAAATTTTGGGCTTTGCCATGTTAAGTCACATTTTATAAAATGATGTGAAAATTATATACCTTGCAATTTAAATTTTTTGACTATTATTAAATAAAATAATAATAAAAATTAATAAATATTTACTGAAAGTTATTTTTTGAATGGAATTATCTTTGGATAAACAAACTAATAATTGTGTGCAAAAATTTTTCAATTCGCATTAAAAGTTCTCGAAATAATGCGAAATACTCAAAAAATAAAACTAGCATTAAGAAGTTCAAATTTTAGCCAAACTATTGGAACTATATTTCCCAGATTGCGGCTACCCGCTATATTTTGTTGATCAGAAATTACAATCCGGCAAAAAAAAGCATGTTTATTCCGAGAATGTATGCTGTGTTTGATTTCGTAACTTAAACTATCGTCTGCACTAATTAATTTCCATGTTTGAGATCACCCTCTCGAATCATTAAGATTGAGTCCTAGAACATGAAGATCCGATCATTAGATCAAAAGTTATTCAGGGGTGCTCGTTTATTTTTTTTACGCATTATACTTTTATTTGGATAAAAAAAAACTTAATATTCAATTAGTATTAATCAATAACATATCATAATTTTTCTGCATTATTAATTTAACTTACTGGTGGACAAGTATCCAAACATAAAGAGACAGTCATTTGAAACTTTACTGCAGAATCTGAGGCGAATTTAAATGCTTGAAATGGTGCCACTAACGACTTCGATCCAGGCAGCCTGTCTAAGGCTTGAATCACTGTAGGCTCTACAGGACATCTGTAAGTCAATATATATAAGATAAATAATATAAATAAGTTTAATACAATTATAAGAATAATTTCATTACTGGTAAACGATTTAGGTGTAGAATCGGAGTACTCTGAGTTTGGCGATAATTTTCGTTCAATTTTGCTGAAACTCCGCTTCTGGTTACGATGATATTTTTTGCTTTCAATGACGTCACCTTCGGGTTACCGCAGTTTTCGTTCACCGTTATGTGATTGGTTTATTTTCATATATCTCGGTTTATTATTTTAAAATTGTTAAGCATAAGAGTTGCTCCGATTGTAAAATATTAACCAGGTAAACATCAACAGGTAAGTGGCTATAAAAGTAGGATTTAAGGAAAATATGGGATGTTGATAATGATATAAGTCAAGAAAAATAATAAAAACATTTTTAATCGACTATATTATCAAAAAGTGATAACAAAATATAGGCGACCTAATTCACACCATTATTTCGTATTCATTATGAAAATATTTACCTTTGAAAGAAGTATTGTGTGAACATAACAACAAAAATCTAAGTTTTGTTTTCTAAATCAATTTTCACCTCCCAAAATATGCCTATGTGTGTAGATGCTTCTAACATTGAAACTATAGCGTTTGGATAATATGTGATATATTTCAGGATTGTTTAATTTTAAATATTTTAATTTACTTGCAAGTTTGTATTTTGTTTAACAATGGCACCACAATAATCTGAAAAAATAGTAATATTAATAATAATATAATTTGTTGTTGCTGTTGCTAATTCCCATCTGGTTACCAGCTTCACGAAATCTAACTCCGATCCAAATGAAGTTCTCGTGACGTCATAAATCCGTGAATGTCAGTTAAGTCGTATTACGAGCTTTTGATTCCGCTCGGAACTAAATTCCGATGCGAAATTATTACGAATCCCATTCCGACAGGTTTAAGAGTAAGCGAAATCTAGATTCCGATCAGAGTTAGTTTATTTTAGTGATCAAAATGGCGCTGTTTTCAGTCATACATCTAGCTATTGCTGAAGAGAGTGATCGAAACACTATTAAGAGAAAGATCTCTCGGCGTAAAAGATTTTGGGTATTCCAATATCACGACAACAAAATTAAGAAGTTAATTTAGATTGGAAATCAGTTTTTTTTAAAATGGTGTTATTCATAGGCGAAATTCAGTAGTGGAAATGAATAATATCGGATTGCGGAAATTAATAAAAGAAGCTACATAAAAAAAATATATACCAAAAACAATAGAATCTTTGCTAAAGAAAAAAGGAAATACCAAAGTTAGCTATTAGAATTTCCTATATTGTTTGAAATATGCATGTGTGGGGATTTAACTATCGACTGTGTTAACCTTCAACTATCTAAAGGTACCTCAAGATGGATGCAAGTTAATATGTTTTATATAGTAGTGATTTGGTATTTAATATTTATAGTGGTAGTTACGTCAGATATGCTGATAAGGCTTCCTTTATTTTAATCTGGATTGTTTTCTAGGTATTCCACAATCATTGTTTGGAGGCGAATATTAATTTTTGTACGTGAAGCCATTTGAAAATACTACGTTGTAATTTCACTCTACACTACTCTCTATACTTCAAATAAACACAAACTTGGCTTTTAGAACACAAAATTGTTGAAAATGTATGAATTTTTAAGCTTTCAGTTCTAAGTTAATGCGATTTTAACTCGCATAGAAGTAGAGAATACAAACATATCGTTGCCAGATTAATAAATTAGAATTATAATAATTTTCTAATTGGTCAAAGTTAGCCCCGCCTACAAACTTCAATTTCACCGGAATCGTGTGGAATGGCGATTTCGATTCCGGATTCCGATATGCTCATGTTACNGATCTAAGAACTATGCTAGACACTCGTTGTCTTATATTCCCGTTGCCGCAGCGCTGTACTTTGATTGGCTCCATACCCCCTTTATTTGCATACTCATGCCTGTACCGGTTTTTTTGGCTCTTCAGTGTAATATTCCAGGGTTATATAGGCAAACAATTTTATTAAAAATCATAAAGTGTTTTAATAAAAAATCAAATTCGATAAATAATTTTAAAAAAAATTATTTTTGAAAATAGAGGTCCCTCAAAATAAAAATTCTTCATTTTTAATATACATATGAGTGACTAAATAAATAATTTTGAAAATAACTAAATAATTTTGAGATGAATTTAATTTTGAAGTGAGTGACTACAAGATCAAGTCTTCCAGGACACATCCGCCCTTCAAGAAATCTTAAATTGCCTTATACCATTTTAATTTTATTTCAGGTGATAGAATAAAACGTGTTTCAAGAGAACTGTTGCGAGCAAAATAAAGCTGTTGCAGTCATGAAAAAAATGAGGTAAAGTTTAGAGCCAATCTTATCGTTGCTCATAGCAACAACATGGCAAATGGCTCATTTAAACCTGGTAGTAAAGCAAACAGCTGGAGTTTTATAATTGATACAAATGGGGAAATTTACTAACTTCTAATGAGTAGTATAACTGAATATTTAAAATTATTCTGATTATGAATGTTATATCAAACAGATAAACATTTTAACTATTATCACAAATATAAGTTTCAATTACAAATGTACTGCCTAAGTCATTACGTTATTTCAAAAATATATAGTTTTAAGAAACTATTGTATTAAAAAAAAACAAGTTTTACTTGAAAAAAAGGAGATACATTTCTTAGTTAATATTATATTTTATACAATCTTAAGAATTTGAATTTTATAAAATTTTTGAACTTTAAATAATACGAAAATGTTTTTGATAGAAAGATCAAAAAGTTTCTTTAAATTCTAAAAAAAGTTTTTTTTTCTTGGAAATTTTTTATGGGACTTGGAACTTTACATATTAGATGGCTTATTGATATTTCAAATATTTTATAACATTAAACTCAGATTTTAAAGAAAAGGGTAAAATTTTAAATCCTACTAAGTTAATTAATGCAAACATATTTGTTTGTACTGAATAAAAACACATAGATGAAATCCCAGTATTAAGCAAGATTATTTTTAAACAGTCTTATATCTATACAAAGCAGAACTGCTTTAAGTAAAGTGAAATACTTTGCAAAAACAAAATTTATAAATATAGAACTGATAAATATAGCAAATTTTTATTCTGAAAAAAGCTCTTTGAAAATATCCAAATATTAGGTTGAGTAACTATTAAAATATGCTCTAATTACTTTAAAATTACATGTCTATTTGCGAGCTTTTAGCCTTATCATAAATTGAAAATATTTAACAGAATAGTTCATCGAAATAGAGAGCCAAACATTCAGTTTTTTAAATGACAATGACATTAAAAATTATATGAACGAAGGATTATAATATAATAGACAAAAAAAAAAACTGAAATGAAATGGGTTTGATTATTAAAATTCTTTTTATAAAGTCATCTAAGTTTTATTAAATAAATATTTCCGATAAATGTGAAACATTTCAACGCATGTCAGCTTCAACGAATCTCACAATATCAAAATGAAGGGTATATATTTAATATTTTTATCTTGTTCATCATCAGTGTTAGAATGCAGAAATTCTACTGTGTTTTTCAATAGAGGAAGAAACTGTCCTTTTCTTATGTATTCTATTACATTTTAAATGTTAGAAATTTTGTCAGATTCAATTTCCTTTTTTTCGTATTAATCTTTATTGCAAGTAAATCAAAACTCTGGCAAGGGTAATCTATCTGACACAAAGCCAAGAAAAGGTTAACACATGTAGTTAAAGACATAATAACTAAAAACCGTGAAATATTTTGACTTTAACCCTAAGTGACACCCGGCGTTAACAATAGATTAACTAAGGAAGTCATTTTTACTGCTTTTAATTTCGACAAAAACAACGATGTATATAATGACACAATTTCTTAGAATTTTGTACAACATCTAATTTTTTATTGTTAATATTTACTAATAGCTTGTTATATAACTGTAAGTAACATAAAAAATATTAAAAATTAGTTTTAAACAAATTTTTTTGCACATTATTTATTCTTTTACAATCCAGTCATTTTGATTGCTTTTGAGCAAAATATAGGTATACGCTAAATTTCTGTCTTTCTAGTGTTATGGAGAAATTATTCAATCGAGTATAGTCGGTTCCTTCATCGATGCATCACACATTTAAATGTTTAAAATCAAAAGAATGTTTTTTTTTTCTTCAAAATTTTTATTAATTCTACAATGTCTTTTTCTAAAGTATATTTTATATTTTTAAATCATACGAAATCAGAGTTAGAAAAAATTTAATTAAATTCAAAATTCTTTTCTTGCGTTAATCTTCAAAACAGGTAAATCATTACTTTGCTAAGGGTAATCACATTGACAAAAAAAAAAAAAAAAAAAAAAAANAAAAAAAGCGTCATTTTTTAAAATGTCTCCTCAAGATCACCCTTCGGGTCGTGAAGGAGAAATTGTTCGATCCTGTGCAGTCGGTTTCTTCTTTGATACGTCGCTCACTTAATTGTTTGAAATAAAAGGAATGTTTTTTTAAAAATTCTACTATGCCTTTCCTCGAAACAAGGAAATGCCTTTTTCTAAAGTGTATTTTATGCTTTTAAATCGAACGAAATCAGAGCTAGAAAAAAATTAATCAAAATCAAAATTCTTATCTTGTGTAATCTTCAAAACAAGTAAATCATAACTCTGCTAAGAGTTATTGCATTGACACAAAAGCAAAAAAAATTTTTTTATCACTTTCATCTAAAGAGATCGAAAACAACAATCATGCGTTGTCTTTCTTCGAACGAGGCAGTGTCTTTTTCCAATGTATTTTACAAAATTTTAAATCCCACGTAATTAGAGCTGGAAGAAAATTTTGTCAGATTCAAATGTCTTTCACGTTAATCTTCAAAGCAAGTAAATCACAACTTTGCCAAGGGTAATCGCACTGACACAAAGCCAAGAAAAGGTTAACACATGTAGTAAAAGAAATAATAACTAAAAACCGCGACATCTTTTGAATTTCACCCCAAGGGACATCCGCTGGGAAGGAGTAA